GTCAAGTGATGACCTCAAACAGGACTAACTATATTTAACCAATGTTTGTCTCTCATTCTTTCAAAACGTTTTTTCTATATATTCATTTCAATCAAACATTCACAAGATAAAAAATTTTACTCATAAATCCAAAACTTTTCTTACTTTTTAAGCACAAACTCTTCGTCCTTGTTTGATTCTCTTTATTTGTAAAATATATTTTTCTCAATCTTCTTTTCAATCACGCATTTTTCAATAAAATAATATTACACTCAAACTCAAGATTTTTTCTTATTTTTTTCTCCATCAATCTACTATTCAAAAATGCATTCTTTGTCAAATAATGATGCTCAAACAATGGCTTAAAAAATTCATGGTCTTTGAAGACAAAAAAATCTATTATCTTGCAAAAAATTGGAATAGATTAGGGTTTAATGGGTTCCACATGATCCAAAATTTATTTATTTTTGCAATGGAGTAAAAAGACTCATTTGATGTTCATTGGATTTTTGAATCATTTTAAGGCTCGTTAACAATATTTTTAAACGAAAATCATGATTAAGGAAAAAGAAATTTGATTAATGGAATGTTAAAAATAAGAATGTAATGAAGAAAAAGTTATAAGTGTAATAATGAATAAAGGTTAATGAGATATATTTAAATAAGGTATATTTAATGTTAATGACGTTTAATGTAATCAAAATGAAATGTTAAAAAGGGGATATTTCATACTATTTTCTATGAAGAGGAATTCGAAAAACCAAAAGACGACTAGTTAGTGGCGTTGATCTGGTAGCAACCGTGGCGTAGGCTGAATATTCAAATCAACTCAAGTAATCCCAACTCCCAAGTCTTGAACTTTCAGTTCAATGTTTGTTTGAAAAAAAACTAAACAACCAAGGTCACGAGCATAGCGAATTCCCCTACCTATGTGGCACGACAAGATTGCTTATTGCGAATTCAAAGTTAAATTACTAGAAAGTGCACTAACAGTATCCCATATGTAAGCATTATTGCTAACTTCATTCCAAAGTATATTGTGCTTATATTATATATCTTGGCTTGCTAGACCATGTGTGTGGGAAGGATATCCCGAGGATTATCGAAAACTCGAGGGTTGAACGGGTGGTCCATTACACGTGGTATCCGAGTGGGTCCGCATCGAATGTTAATTTTTTGATTGCGGGAGTCATGCTGTACTTTCCCATAGAAACGATTTTGGGACCGTTAAGACGAGAAAAAGCTACGAGATATATGGCTAAGCACGATTGCAAGTAAGTGAAATTGATGCTGGGAAACTTTAAGGATGATGAAAGTAAGGGCATGCGTGCATTTTTGCCTACTACACAAAAGTTTGTTTCGTAGACCGTGACAAAGCATTGCAAAAGAAATCATATGTAGGGGCATTTGTGTTGAATGTTTCAACAATGCGCCGTGATGTTGTGGCTAGAGGAGCTGTCCCTCCGAGAAATCAATGCAAAGCACATAGGGTGAAGGTTGGTGTCGAATGCGGCATGTACAGGTTACTACAGGAATAGGTGCAGGGGCACTGTGGATACCCGTACATAATGGGGATAGTATCACAATTATGGAGAACTTTC